TTTCTGATGAAAAAAATATGTGGAATGTAGTAAAAAAATCATTGGAAAATATACTATTGACAACATTTAAAAATCAAGTTTTTGATTCTTTATTCATAATTCTTCTAGCTAAAACCCATATTGTGACACCACGCATGTGATACTTTTATTTGTGATTTATACACTCATCTATTGACTTCCTAAATTTTGCTTCCATAAAACCATAGTCATCATGATTTTATTCTCCAAAAACATCTTATAACATAAACTATGTATTTCCATGGAGAAGTTTCCCTTTTCTCTGTGCCGAGTTCCCTTTTTTAAAGTTGTCATAGCACCGTTTCTTCATGTTACATTATCTGGACATGGTAGCATTTATTTAATCAGGACTAATTCCATAAACATTTAGCAAACCATTTTAAGAAAATAAAGATGAAAACCTAATTTGAAGCAATTTTTTAAAATCTTTAAAAAATTGCCCAAAGCCAATATTTTTGAAGGGTACTTAGTGTAACTTGAAATCATTTTAAATTGTTGCAAATTGCTCAAATCATCCAAATCTTTACTATAGATATAACAACAACAGAAGTTACCTAACATGCAGAGGGGAGTATATTGGATAGATATTAATGAATGTCAAGAGTCTGGAGTCTATCCAATTGTGCATCTCTTATAAATCCTGTCCTAGTGCCTTATAGACAGTAGGTGGTTAATAAAGGTCTATTGAATTGAATATCCACTATCTCCTCATTTTCTGTCTTATCCTGAATCTTTTATTTACTCTGACCTTCCCACACACCACTTAGTACTTGGTGAATTTGTGCACATAGGTCATGGAAACACCTTGAGATGGATTTAAGAGCATTCTAATGGAGGTAACATCTGAACTGGTTTCTGAACAACAGATAGGGGCTACACACAGCCTTCAGTGACCAGGTCTTGCCTCCATCTCTCCCCCATCTCCCTGCCTTACAGGTTTAGCTCCAGATACATGAATTGCTGGCTGCTCCCAGTAGACATGATACTCATTCTAGCCTTGATGCCTTTGTTCATCTGGTCATCTCTTTCTGGAATGTATCCTCTATCCTTTGGTCTCCCAATTCACCTGGGAAAAATTCATCCATCCTTTAAGACTCAACTCAAGAGGCACCTTCCCTCCAGAGAAGGTTCTCTGAAGTCCTTCTCTGAGAGTTTGGCCCACCCCCTTCAGAAATAAAGTCAGGTATCCCACCGCTATGCTCCTATCATATCCTGGGCATACTCTTCATGGGATTTACCAGGCTGCTTCATAATTTTCTGTATGTATGTCTGCTTCTCCTGTTAGACTGAAAGTTTTGTGATAATGGAATGAATCTTAAACTTTTTGTATTCCTTGAACATAGCATGTTTCCAAACTCATAAGTGCTAACTTTAAAATGAATAGATGGAGAAAAGAAGGGAAGGAAGGATTTAAATAGTGAAGAAATCAGTCTGTTAGATAACTTTAGAAACAATATGAAAGACGGAGGTATTTTTCAGAACTCTTTCACTGCGAGTGATGGAATTACAACTCAAACTGGCTGAACAAGAGAAGAGAATCTATTGCTATATAACAGTGAAAGTCAAAGGATTAGATAGGATAATGCTAGACTCAGGTGCTCAAGCATCTTCAATAATCTTGTCTGTGCAGGCCAGGTCTGTGCTTTCCTCTGTGGCAGTCTACTCTCAGGCAAGCTTTCCCCAAGTCATGGCAAGACCTTGGGTTTCCATTTTACCAGTTTAGCAATCCCAGCAAGAAGCAAGAGCACCTCAATTCCCTTTGTTCCTGCACAACTGGCATTGTCTCATTGGTCAATCTTAATTCATTGGCTCCATCGTGAACCCATATTGGCTTGGGCAAGGGCACAGGTAGGAAGCAGGGAACAACACTGCTGTAGGATCACAAGCTCCCCGTCTTCAGCTCAGAATTGAAGTCACCCACCTTAATCACATGGACTGACAAGGGCAGAGGTGAGGATTTCCAAAGGAAGACCAGGGCTCTGTTTTAAGAAGAAGGAAGGGGAATTCCCTGGTGGTCCAGTGATTAGGACTACGCTTTCACTCACTAAGGTGCCGGTTGGACCCTTGGTCAGTGAACTAAGATACACATTGCTCCGGAGTGGCCAAAAAAAGAAAAAAAAAAGTAAGGTCGGTGCCAGGCAGGAGACAGATAGAAATAGCAGTTGTAGTAGAGCTTGGAAGGGGAGGTTAACAATGATGTTCAACTAAGTGCTCTTGGCGGGATGGGAAATCTTGGGATCTATCAATAGTAGCATGTTCAGTCATCTTCATTTTCTCCCTTCAGTGTAGAACCAGAAACGTTATACACAAACTATAGCTGTTAGGAAATGGGAGAGGTGGTAGTGTCAATGGCAAAGCTCTCAAGGCAAGCTAGGATAAAGCAGAGCCACACCACTCATTCTTGCTGGCCAATTAGCAAGGTCAGTTTTCAGCATGGAACAACGACCCCAGATTTTGCAGGCATAGTACATTGTATTAGTCAAGTCTCAAAGATACAATAAAAATTACAGGGTAGAATGGAATTTAGGAAGCTGAGCTCCTACTTTAGAGTTGACTTCATTGAGTTAGTGATTGCATTGGTTTATAGCTTGTACCTATAAAAGAGGCATTCGGGACATGTTAACACAAGAAGAAATTTGCTTATCATGATAGACTTCATAACACTGGCGCTCTTAAAATTTTCTGAAACTTACTATGGGGCTGTCATGAATTAAATAATGGAAAGAGGTACATTATAAAAGAAAAAAAAGTCTTTCTTATTCCTTCCTGAAAGCAAATGATTTTAATTTAACAAGTTCTAGGAGTCACATTATAGATAATTCTACAGATAGTGAGTTGATTCATGAAGTATCTCATCATTTTGGCTGCTACTGTAAATAAGCTGAAATTCTACTCTTCCTGGGTGTTTACTCATGTCTTTGGGTTGGGTCTGGGAATCATTACAGCTAATATTTTTCATTGTTTGAGGAGCTAGCTATTAATGCCCAAGGCAGAGAGTCATTTCTTAAATATTTTCCCATAAATGAATTGGGAAGAATTTTACTCTTATTCCTATTTTATGTGGGAAGTAATTGAAAGCAAAATTTCAAACAATGGATTTTAAAAATCTATTCCAAGATTCCCAAAGAATACAGATGCATCCCTCTTACAAAATTTCTAATGCTGAAAAATTTTAAAGATAAATTAACAGATGTTTCTTTGAAAATATATATGTATTTTTTCTCCTTACATAAGGACTCATCATAGACCGTTGCTGTTCATGTAAGTATCTTAATCAGGTCGGGTGCTATAACAAAATATCATACACTAGGTGACTGAAATAACAAGCACTTATTTCTCACGGTTCTGGAGGCTGGGAAGCAAGATCAAAGTGTCTGCAGATTCAGTATCTGGTGAGAATCCTCTTCCTGGTTTGCACATAGTGATAGTTGCCTTCTTGCTGTAGCCTCACATTACAGAGAGAAAGAGACAATAAGCTCTCCAGGTGTCTTTTCTTATAAAGGCACTAATCCCATCATAAGAACCCCACCCTGATGGCCTCATATAAACTGAATTACCTCCCAAATGCCCCATCTTCTTGTACTATCACAATGAAATATAGTGCTTCAGCATATGAATTTTGGAGGACCCAAACATCTAGTCTATAACATTAAGGTTGTAAAACACTTCTATTTTGTTTATTTAATAAATATTTATACAGCATTTAGTATGTGCTACTCTTCTACAAATGTTAACACATTTAATACTCATAACAACTCTGTGAGGCAGGCACTGTCATTAGCTCTCTTAAACAGAGGGAAAGCAAGAGCAGAGAGAGATTAAATAATTCCCTGTGGTCCCATGGCCATGTGGCAAGTAAGTGTGCAGCTGAGACTTCAACCCTGACTGCCTGACAAACTCTCAGCTGTTCCTGAGGCAGACCCACTCTCTCAGCTCCCCAATCCTTCTCACAGCAATCACAGAATATCACACACATCCCCGAGGTCCTCATCGATCCAGGAGGATCAACTTAAACCATCTGCTGTTTAATCCAAAAGGGATACTGGAACTGATGGTGAAAGTGAGAAGGCCTCAGTTACATAGAATCTGAAATGTAAGTACATTGATAGCTGATACTCGAGAGAATCAATCCCAGGAAACAGGCAAATTCAGACAACCTGGAGTGAAATATACTAGTAAGCTAGTGCTTATGAATGTCGAAAACCATATCTGTTTGCTGCTTGTATCAATAGTAAAGTCAGGAATCACTAGGTACTAGCTTTCTGATGTTTATGATCTTTTCTGTCCACGGACAAGCCTAGAAAAGGGGAATGGACCTCCTGAGCCCCGCACGGCCCCTTTCAACACACGAGTAACTGTCATGAGTGAAAACACAGCCTCCTTTAGAACAAAAAGAGGTGCTCTTATAATGACTAAATTCCAGAAATTCAAAGAGAGGGCAGATAAGAGATTACAACACTGTATCTTAAAATAAACAGTGAATTAACCTGTTCAATGGCCTACCCCCAGGCCCAGCCTGGTAAAAACAATGACAGTAAGTGTGATTTATTTGAGATCCTAAAACACTGAGAATTCGACAAAAGTTCTCCTAAAGTTGTGGTACAGTCCCTGTATTGGTCTATCCTTGACACTCACCTTCCGCGACCAGGAGTAGCCAGGCACCCACGGCCGCCCTCGCAGGCGGTAGCCCCGGGGGGGCGGCGACTCACTCCCCCGCACTCACTCCCCCTGCGGGGATTTAGGCGCAGAGACAACGCCCGACCCCCCTCCCCCAGGGCGCGGATTACGCGGGAGGCCCGCGGGGCCGCGCCCTCCTTCCGGACCCGGGAACGCCAAGTGCGTCGGGGAATTTCCCTGGCCTGCCAGCTCCTGTCGGGTCGGCATAAAAGGGCTTCGCCCGGCTCGGGGAGCCACAGAATCCGCTCCGCCAGCTCTCCAGCCCGCCTTCCCGCCGCAGGCAGCGACCCTCCGAGCTGAACCCCATGGCCCGCGCCGCGACCCCCGCCGCCGCCCGCCTCCTCCGCGCCGCGCTGCTACTTCTGGTCCTGGTGGCCGCCGGCCGGCGCGCAGCAGGTGCGACCCGGCGCCCGGCATCCTCAGGGCGGGACGGGGACGGGTGGGGGCCCATCCCGGGACAGCCCCCTGACCGAGTCTGTCCACCCCGCAGGGGCGCCTGTGGTCACCGAACTGCGCTGCCAGTGCCTGCAGACCTTGCAGGGGATTCACCTCAAGAACATCCAGAGCGTGAAGGTGACGCCCCCGGGACCCCACTGCGGCCAAACGGAAGTCGTGTAAGTGCCGCCCCTGTTGCTGTACTTGTCACCCCCACCGTCCCGACGACCCCACCCCGACCCCCAGCCCGACCTCACGTGGATTCTCCCTTCTCTCTGCAGAGCCACTCTCAAGACTGGTCAGGAAGTTTGTCTCAACCCTGAAGCTCCCATGGTTAAAAAAATCATCAACAAGATGCTAAAGAAGTAAGTCATGGATTTTATTCCCACTTGCAACTAGAGCCATTGGTCACAAATACTGGCATCTACCGCCTGAAAATATTATTAGAGAAACCTATGGTTTAGTTGCAGGACTGAAAATCATTATTATTTCCCCATTAAATTTGATCTGCTCTGTGTCAGAAGGGTATTTCCAGGGCTCTCTGTCCTGATCCCCGTGTCCATCCCTATTCAAATGAGTGTGGGTATGTTCCTAAAAGATAAAGTAGATTTAGCCAGGGATGGTAAAATGCTTCTGACCCATTAAAGAACAAACATTGTTTACCTCCATTCCTCAATGGAGGAATTCTACCTGAATGTGGAACCTCTGGTTTTGGGCAACATGGGCCTCTGAAGCTTACTAGTGAAGAGCAGGGACTTTTCAGTGAGACCTCCCTGAGGTCAAGTCTAGGATACCTGTGAAAGGTCTTTAACCCCTTTGAGCAGGAACCTTTTCTGAGTGCAGAGCTGGGCCAGGGTCTACATGCAGAAATCCCTTCAGCCTCAAGGGCCTGAAAGAGAAAAGCAGCTATCTTCAGCACCTGGAACACTAACCCTTTTCTCATCACAGGGGCAGCACCAACTGACCTAGAGAGAAGTAAGAAGCTCATAGGGCATTTCCTGAAGAGCTGTCTCTGCTCTGGTAGGAACTGAAAATGAAGAGAACAGCTGGCTTCTGGGGACACCAAGAAAGGATTTGATGTGCTGGACTATTTTTTATGAGTTCTATTTATTTATATGTGTATTTATTTATTTTTATAGCTCATATTTTAATATTTTATATGTTTGTATTTAAAGATTTCAGTGTGTTTAATCAAACTTAACTCAGTCCTGATTGTTATTTAATATGAGGATGATGGGTTCTAAATGTCTCATTAAACTGATATTGGGAGACCATAAAGTGCCAGGCACTGTGATAGAGGTGGAGGGGGTGGGTGGGAGAGGGGATTCACGCAATTGGACAGTGAGATCACTATTAGAATCAGGGAAAGTGTGTGCACATCTATGTTTGTACTTGTTTAAAACAATGTCAGTTATTATTTATTGAAATTATCTCACTTTATGTGGTCAACATTTTTATGTTGACGCTTCCTTTGGACATTTTATGTCTTTCTTGTAGGGCATAATGCCTTGTTTAATGTTCATTATGTAGTGCTTCTCTTTGTTTTGGAACAGAGAAGTTAAAACTATTGTTACATTTTTTAAATGCCACGAAAATAAAGGTTTTTCAAAAAAATAACATGCTTAGGTTTTGTTTTATTCATCTTGATCTTTGGTTCCTCCCGGGTGCCCCCAAGGTATTATACAGTTAGACTTAGGTTCTACCTAACTTTATGCCTGCTTCTGGCTGTTACTTCCCTTCCTTTTCTGTTACTCAGGAAAGAGTATTTGGCACTCTACCCTCCCCAACCACCTTGAGAATCCTAGTTTTATATAAAATATTGCTGTTTTTCACACTGACCAATTTGTTACTCCAAACTAGTTCTTCATAAACTGTTGAATTTTTATCAATATTTCAACAAGAGCTCCTATTAAATGGCTTTGGTAGTGGTTATTCAAACAATTATGCAATTCTTTTCCTTTTAATGAAGCTGGGAGCAAAGGATAGAAAAATGGATTCTTCCTAAGAACTCAAACAATTTGTGCTATTTAACAATAATAATGACCAATGGAGATAAATACATACTGTACAATAAAATACATGACAAAAATAACAAATGAGGGCTTCCCTGGTGGCGCAGTGCTTGAGAGTCCGCCTGCCG